AAGAGGAACATTTTATACTTCATATTAAATTAACTATTATTGAGTTAAAATGTTTTTAAAAATACTTTTATTTAAATTCAATTATAAAGGGAGGTTTATAATTTATATCTAATAAGTTTTTTTGTCGATTGTTGTATAAATAAATAATATAAATCAATTTCTGCGATTGCAGAACTCTTACACGATTAGAAATAAGGACACTGATGTTATTGTCATAAAAAAATGTATCTTGGGATATGAATATTTTCAACTGTACTGACATTTGAGTATTCATAAGGTCACACAATTATTCGAATTATCCAAGTGTATCATTATTTAGATTTTTAGAGACCTGGTTGGAATGAAAATTTAACTTTCATATTTGTTGGAACTATCTCAGAAAATTTAATTACACATTCACATTTTCTGTTAAGTAAAGTTATTAAACTGCAGACGTTCATGCACTTTACCTATATTAACTAATTCGCGGGAAGTTGTTTACACTATTGACTGTATTACTACATTTCAAATAAAAGGAAGGCCACGTGAAACTTTCTTACATACGAAGTAATAAACAATCGTGTGTATTACCGAAAGGCATAACACCCGCAGTCTAGTTATTAAAATACTCGGAAAAAATGGTTGTTTAATGGAGACAATTTTAAAAAAACTGTGTTTATTTTTTAATTTACAAATATAAGAAGAAACTAGGATTTAATTTCCCTGTTCATCAATATACGGTAAGAACATTTATATTTGATCGTTCTCCGCTGAATAGAATTTAAGAGGAATCAGATAAAATTCACTGTCTAATCACGATAACAGCGTGATATAAAAACCTATCATTCTGTCGATCATTACCGGAACGACGAAGAGAAAGGGCCAAGTAAACGCAACTGTTTTAATTACTTCGGTGCAGTTCCCTTCAGAGAAATCGCGCGATAGACACGTATTGGACCTCGATCGCACGTCTCCGATCAAAGCTTCGTCCGTCCCCGCCCTCCACCCGCAGCAGGCAAGTGTGTGTCGTTTGCGCTCGTTAAAATCGCTTGGTCCGATCGAAGGAATCCGCTAGAACACCCGTCGCGTCATAGGTGTCTTTTGCCCCGCACATAAAAAGCTGTCGACAGTCATTAAGAACGCGATATACCTTATTACATTTTTGCCGCTTACGAGGTTCTACTTATAATCAGATACCTTAGTTACCCTGACGTGTCAATATGCACACACATGTACACGTGCAAGCGTTGCGAGTGTGTATGATACATAGATACGTGTGTACAAGCGTTATATGTACACCGCGCGAAGTTTATTGCCGCTTAAACAGAGAAATACGCACCTGGATGTCTGATCCACGCGCATATACCATCAGAACCGTATATTTTTCACCCCCTTTTTTTCATTTTTCTCATGTCAGTTTGTCCATTCTTCCGTCTTCATTGTAGCTCCTAATGCTACCATCGATATGTAATGTCAATCGAAATCAGGGACATCGATTCCACTTTTGACATTTTCACGTTTCCTCGCGATTCACATTGAATTGATTATCATTCGGGGATACAGCAATAAGGGGTCGATCGCGTGGGGCACGTATGCCGGGTGAATTCGATTACTTCGTAAAATTTTGTCGTGAATGTGATTTTTTAATTGAGATTGCTGTCATTGGTAAATGGAGAGTAACTGAATAGTTGTAAGTTTAATTTTGATATTTAATTTTTAGTGGAGGAACTATTGTTTTTGACGATACGAATTGTGGACGTTGTATAGATTTCTTAATTTTATCAGATTTTTAAAGCATAATGGTTTTGTAACGTGCAGTTCACTGTTTTAAGCAACAAGTTCGTTTTTTCTGTACTAGTTTGTACCGAAGGTACTTGAAAAACAGGTTCAATACTATACATGCAAGTAATAATGAGATAATAAATAACAATCATAAGTCAAATAAATCATGATATGCCTTACTATGAACTATATTTTGACAATTCCAAGAGAAAATAATGATTGCATTCGCTAAAGTCTTAAGAAAAGTGGGAGTTCAATTTATGCTTCAATATCCTTCTGGTTGCTTGACTATATTTTTACCTTGTATATCCACATTCCCCGAATTATATTTAGTGTCGCCAATGCACGTATACTTAATTTTTATATTATAATGTAACATTTAGTTACAGTGAGTTTTAAATAAATTTTATATCTCTGTGAAACATATTATAGTTAGGAAAAGCGATGAAGCATTCGAAGTTAATTAAAAGAAGAAAATATTTTTCAAATTTCGTGCTGTATTTAACTTCCTTGTTGAAAGATTTAATTCTTTTTGTACGCAACGACAAGTGGTTCAAAATTCTTTTTTAAATCGATATTTATAGAAATAACAAGAGGAAAACTAAATTGTCACCATTAACAGAATATTATTTTTTTTAGGCTGACAGCATCTTTGAATAATAAAAAACTGAGAAGGTATAAAAAATATCAGTTTCTTCTTCTCCACTATTTCAACAACAATTCAGTGCATAGAAAAGTCAAGATTTTTTTAACACTAGACCCACGAAGAAGTCAAAATGCCTGATTATTATACTCTTACAACGACGATTAAAGTGTTATAAGAATGAATTTGGTTAGATCTTTAACAAATTTTATTGCAATATATGGGTGAAGAAATGAATTACTTTATAAATTTGTATATTTTCAAAAGTTTGTCATGTTATCGTCGTTTATCGTCGTTAGTTCTAGTGCCAATTGTTCCCACTTTAACTGAATCAATAAATTTAAAATACTTGTAACGAAAAAGTTGACTAATTACAGAATATGATATGAATTAGCGACCACGAAATTCGGTTCATGTTAAATATTAAAACGAACATGCTACTCAATTCATTCACCATCGACTATCGACGAATTTTCATCTTAAATAGAGAACGAACGAATAACATCGTTGTCAGTTCATCGAATTCCAGAAGTCGATAATAAGCACGCATCGGACAAAAGGGTTTCTTGTTTTTACAAATGCACGTAGACGGGACAGAGAATAGGAAACGGGCCCCCGGGATCTAATAATTTCATCGGAATTTTTCCCGATAGAATCGTCTGGCGTTGCGACATTTCGAAGCTTGAAAGCGTTATTTTTTATTAGCGAACGGATGGAATGGAATAGAGGCAATCGGCAATACTGGATCAATGCAAACAAGGAGGCTCGCGCACGTCGGGTATACACATGTTAATATTTCATCATTCTTTTTTTCGACGGCGTGAAATAGAGTCCCGACGTCCACGGCTTGCGCTTCGTTTCATTTCCTATATTGCCCTGACTACGTAATTTATGAGTCATGCGAGCTAATTTCAGCGTTCGTGTTGTTTGCAGTTGCATTGCTCGAATTTCAAATGTCGTATAATTCTGATTCGGTAAACCGATTGATTATTATAAGAAAATATTTGCGGAGGTATTTTAACGGAATTTTTATAAAACAGATAAATTTTTAAAGTATTTTCATTATACAGGGTGTTTCCAAACTGTGACAATGGCTGTGATTCTACAAAAAAGAGTAAGTACAAAATGTAGAATATCATTTTTTCGTATGATGCTTCGTTTCCAAAATGATCAATTTTAAAAATTCATCTAACACTTATGTAGGTAATTCGTGCGGAGAATAAGTAGAAACGGGTTGTAATGAACAGACGCGACAGTGAAATCTTATTCGATAACTGCACGCGTACGTTGCAGATTTTTAAATTCTGTTTTTTTGAAAATGATACATTACACTAAAAACTTTTATTCCACATTTTCGACTTATTTTGACATGTAGAATCACATCTTTTCTGGCTGTACCACCAGTTCGGAAAAATTTTGCATAATGCTTTTTAACAGGTATCAAAATTCGCGTAGTATGTTCCAAAAGTTTCTGGCATAATCTGAATGTATTAGAGAAAAATTAAAAGATTGATTCTTATTCAAATACATTTAAATACTAATAAATTATTTAAATAATAAAGTTTCTTTACTCATTTAGTTTCGTTTAATAGAAAGTTTTGTACCTTACTACGTAATATATTGAAACGTTACTCCTTCTCTTGAAGTGTCGTCTATAATTATTAGCCTGTGGATTGTATGAATTTATTGTAAACGTAAATATGAAGCATATAATGTAGTAAAAATACTAACAAAACGTAATAAAACACTTCTTCACTCTATATCTAATTATTGATGTTTTATAGAAGTAAACAAATTTTGTGGTTAACTCTTATTTTCTTTTTTTACATTAATATGTGCCACTTTGAATTTGCATGAACATCCACAGTCTAATAAATAATAGCTGTTAAACAAAATGGATCAATATTGAAAACTAACTTCAAGGCCCATACTGACATGAATAAATCTGTAGTGTTAATAAATAATCGGATGGAAGTACCATCCAACGTTTACGATAAATTTTCTTTCCATATACCGCAACTATCAAACCCATTCTATATTTAATACAGTAGACTTCTACTATTCAATGTCAAATATCCAGATAAAAAGTCGTTTAATTTCGTTCGATTATCAGAATTAATTAAGTATGATTATCAAAAAAATGTAATTGACTCCTCGTTTCCTCAGACCAATTCGGACAATAGAGATTCTGCCATATTCATTTCGAATTTGAAGGGAGTAAAACTCATACATTACGAGTTATTATGTTATTCCTAACTTTCAAACAACATTTCTTTTGCAATAAAACACATTGCAATTTTGAAATGCTCACTTGATTGCATTAAACATCTCGTGCCTTGGTCTGAAATTCTGATTTCGAAATTTCTGTCCTGCATACGCACCCGTCCTCGTGGCCCACGTTCATCGTTCCGCCGGAACGTTCGCGTCCCGTTCACCGTGTTCGTGTTATTAAAGCTAGGATTTAAGAATAAGCCACTCAGGGAAGACGATACTTCGTCGGCGCCGAATTAACCGAGAAACAAAGCGCACCATCTGCCGGCCCAGCCTTGTATCGATCGAAATTTAACAGATTTCTCAAACCTCTCGGTCCATTCATTCATTGGCATCGTTGACAGACGGCGATCAGCATCAGAACGATGATCAGCAGACTGGAAGCCGGCCGATGATCCGCGTTCGAGCCCATGCTGATCGTCGGCCTCTTTTTCCCGATCCTCATCGTCGGCACCGGTGTCCCCACCGACGGATATCCCAGGTGACCATTGATTGTGTTGTCCACAGAGAGTGGTCTGTTCTCCATTTTGTCCATCTCCGCCGAGCCGTATACGGGTTCGTCCTCCTCGTCGTAAAAAGACGGTCGAGCCGCCGTCTGCGTTTTCGCTGGCCCCGAGATCTCTGGAAAAAGAAGACCAACAAAAATTGTATTTTAATAACTATTGCTTGAATTTTTTCATATGTTAAATAATTAATAGATTGTGAATTTTATGTTTTTTTTTTTCAATTTTTTCATATGCTAAATAATTAATAGATTGTGAATTTTATGTTTTTTTTATTAATTTTTACATGGAGGGAACCCCATACGTCTAGTAGACTTCTTCCTTGTTATAAATCACCCCCATATGGGGCAGATATACAAAAGTTTTTCAGTCATTTGCCTTTGAAGTTTTCCCCGTGACTTAAGTACATGTTATTTTGCCTGATTATTCGTAGGTGTTCTAGCGTCCGGGCAACGTCCATAGTGTCAAATTTAATTTCTACAGTTCAAATACGTCACATGTACATCCACAAATGTTTAGAAGGGACATATTTAAACTCTAGTCGTCATGGTAGAAACCATGGACGTTGCCCCGACGCTACAACATCATTGAATAATCACGCAACATAACTTCCCCTAAGTCACGAGAAAAACTTTAAAAGTAAATAACTCAAAAACTTTTGAGTATCTGACCGTATATGGGGGTAATTCATGAAGAGGATGAAGCCTACTACGTGTCCTAAAAGTTTCATTAAAATCGGCGATCCGAAGTTGGAGCACTCTCCTTGTTAGTATGTTATGATGAATTTCTTTTCTTTTTATTGTGAACTTTAGTAGACTGCAAATTATATACATTTATCGTAAATGTGAGTATAGAAAGAATGGTATAGTAAACACTTTCGTAAAGATTAGTAAAACTTTACTTGCAACCCGAGAAGAACTTTTAATTAAACACATAAATTCTTGATATACTTTCAGTTCCGTAAACTTATTTACAAAATACTGAATTTGCAGAAAGGTCTGTAGTCTAGTGATTAAGAACGAGTTTGACATGTACATCGTTTCTTCTAAATAGGTAGCCATAAGGTAAATGTCTCAGTGATTGGACGTTTATGGCAAAGATTGCAGTTACGAAGAGTTTTCACCTATTAAAATAATATATTAGATTGGCAAAAAAGTACATTCAATCGATAGAGCAGAACTTCTTCTTCCAGACAAGTGGTTATAAGAAAGCGTTCATGTGAAAAAAAGTATTATTTATGATTATCTAAAAGCGTTCATTTGGCCGAGTGATTGGAAAGAATTTACGGCATGTCCTAGTGATTAAATTTAGTTGTCCCAGTGTTTGGACACATGTAACATTCAATAAATTATTCAGAGCTGACTTTTAATAGTAAAACATGATACTCTTCTTTTATGTTGTAAAAATTCAAATAAAAACGTAACAAATTTAATTTAATGCAAGAAATAAAAGAAACAGAATTATAACTAAATAAAATAATAAAAATTATGAACTAAATCTATAAATGTGTACAATATAAATTAACAAATAAATAACACTAAAGGAAAATTACATTCTATTATTACGTATATGTTATATATTTGATAAAAGCTATTAAACATTTATCTTTATACATTTAGGAAATTGTGCATTTCGCCCGTAAATTCAATAATTTATAACTCAAAATCGAAGCCACGAACGCAATTTATCATTCTTGATTTTCGTTTTACAAGAAGAAAGCTCGAGATGATCCTCTGGGATTTCGATGCGCATTTGTAGGATAGTAGCACAGATTGTTCCTTATCTAAGTCCAAAAGCGTAGGTGCTATCATCAGTTTTCAAAATAATAGATGTTAAATTTTTACGGGGCTCGTATATGTATACATTAAGCGCAAACATTGTACTATTGGAGCTGATGACACAAGCCATTGCGCAGGCCACTTTGCCATCGACTTCTACGGTACAACGTCCACGCCTAAGGTATATAAGGGCCTTGTAAAATTTTAATATCGATTATTTGGAAAACTGATGATACTTAGCATCTATGCTTTCGGATTGTAATAATGATCAACCTATGCTATTATCCTTCAAAATCCCAGAGGATCATCTCGAGCCTGCCCCTTAATTTAGCAGGCAGCGTTCTCTCTGCAAGAGTATTCAACATTTTTATCAACACTCCATAGATAAATTCACGGTACGATTACACATCAACAAGCTCGATCTCGTTACAAGTTTCCACCCAGACATGAAAGTCAAATCCCATCAGTCATACGGCGCCCCGTCCGCCAAATCATCGTCAACGCGTTTCACTCTAAACGAGAATATACGAACCACGGTACAGGGTAGAAAGCTGCACGGGAAATAAGTAAATCTCGGTGTCTCGAAACGGCATTGATTCCCAAGACGTAAGCGCCGGGTCTCGGCTTGTCTGCGACGCTCGTGACGATTTACGAAGGACATAGGAGCGAGCCCGTTGGCTGTATCCTTCAACCGGAGAGTGCCTTCCCGGCTGTGTCTCCCCAGAGTGCTCTGACCTGATTGAAAGATCCCCGGGATCGTATGCGAAAAGATGAGGATTGACCGAAAGAAGACGAGGAAAGGGGGAGGGGACCGACTGCTCTGATGTCGGGCTGGGAATCCTCGGAGGTATCCACCGGCAAAGTGAAGATGCTTGTAAACGCGGCCCATGTTTGCCGTTCAAGGAAAAGGGATTCTTGTTTCTATCATAGGACGATCGGTCTTCCCAGAGAAGTCGCAGCCCAGGACCAACCGGGGCAACAATTTCTACGCGGGGCTTCCGCAAAGACTCGTTAACCACCCGCCTCGTTACGTATCAGCCGTGAAATAACACACCGGCCTCGGAGACGGATTTCCGGGGCTAAGCGCAACAGCTATCAACCGAGCTGTGCCTGACTCTCGCTTAGTTCTCCCCCGCCCACCCGTTTACCGCACACCAGGTCTCGGCCTCGTTATCGCGAAGCCTTTCGAATATCGTGAATTGTTGTTCACTCTTTCGCTAACCGGAGACCTGGCTACAATCCCGCCGCCCTTAGCCGCTGACTCGATGCTTGTTAAGGGTGGGAGACGTCTAGCGAGCCACTTAAGGACCGTGACTGGCCCTTTGTTTGGTCACATTCGAAGGGTATGAATGTGTATCGCTGGTCTGTTAGACGGCAGTTGATTATGCAATCTGTCGAAAGTCGGCGGTTCTCGTTGATCGATTAAACTGTTCGGGAAGTTTTTGGTCGGCTCAGTTGTGAGAAAAGGCAAGGGGTGTTGTAGCAATTGTTAATTGATTACAGTGTACTGGGTACAATTTTTGGTGTGGTCGATAATTGTGGGAAGGGACAATCGATGGTGAAGAAATTGGGGTGAATTAGGGATTTTTAAGTTTTTGTTGTTTCGGATATTTTCTTTGTGAGAGAAGTCACTGGTGGTTATAAATGTATTTGTATTTTATAATAACATAGAAACTGGAGTGGAAGTTTTTATGTACATGGGTTGATCAGTGTCAGTTATAATTATATGTATGTACTGTTTTGTATTGACAGGAAGGGTAAGGGCAGGAGATTGTATTTATGGAAAACAAAAACTTTCTGCAATGTATTTGTCAAAATTTAGAACATTTCTTCAGTACTAAAAATCATAAAATCCGACAATTTTAAAGGCAAACAGATGAGACTAAATATGACAAATACCACGCAATGAAATTAAAAAATACATCGGTATAATTAGAGGAACTTGAAATAGGAAAATTGATTCCCATTTAATTATATTACTTAAAATAAAATAGAATATTGTGACATAAAATAAAATGTCGGATATTAACAGTAAACCTACCAAACCCTTCAAAAAGGCCGAAATTACCGGTTATTTGACGGTCGTGTTAGATTTAGTGTTAAATACGTACATTCCAACGAAGGTATTGTATTTCGTATTACAGATCTTATAATATAATTCCAAGTATTGATTACCTTATAATTGAAATGTGGCAGCAACAGTAAATTTTCAAGAATATTTGACAAGCATTTTCATTTTACTTTTCAGTTCATCGTGATGCTTAAAATATATTCTTACGGACTAGAAGAATTTTCTTCCATGAATATTCAAAAATAAGAGAAGTAGATGTCAGAAATAATAATAATAATAACATGTAGATACATGCAAACTATGCAAAATGAATAACAAATTGGAAAAAATGTTAAGCAGAGCAAAAGTGAGTGCCGCGACGTGTAAATAAAACATATTACACTAGAGTACAGATATGTGATCGCTTTAGAAATATTCGAATATCATACACTCACCGTATAAACGAATACTGCTGTCGACGTCACCAAGAGAATTCTTAGCCACGCATTTGTAGGTGCCCACGTCAGATTTATGCAGGTTGCGAATAGTCAAAACCATCCTGACCTCAAACTGCGATTTGACGATGATTTGCACGTCATGCTGTACACTCGATATTATCATGGCTATGGGAAGAGAAAAATTTATTTTATTTACTTTAATTCTTACTCTCGATGAATAAGCGATATATTGTTCAAATTTTAAATTATTCTTTATAGTCGCGTCAACCTCTAACAGCAGTTATTAGCGACTACGATTGCATTTCAAATTACAATTCAATATTATAGTTAATGGTAAAGTTTTACTTGGTTCAGAAAAAGCTACTAGCTGCAGTATTTTCTTCTTACGGAATTTGTGTTAAATGAAATCCAATTTAGTCTTGGTTTGTATTTTGTATTAAGTGGCGGAAGTACAGTAAATTCTGGATGAGTGTGAGAAGGCTTCTCAGCTCTGAACATTAAATATTTTATAAACTAGTGGTCATATACGGCTGAAGCAAATATCATTGGCTTCAGAATTCCAAGCTCCATCGTTGTATGTAAACTTCATTAAAAAGTCAGCGTTACACCTGGAGACCTCTTTTTGTCAGCGCCGAGGAGCCTTTGAACACTCATCCAGGATTTACTGTAGTTCTCTTGATTTGCTCTTACAATTTACAATTTTCTATAATAAACAACTGATTCATAACACATTAAATGTGACTATATGTAAATTTATTGTCAGACTTATGTATTCAAAGGCAGACCATTACGATCATTCGACTGTAGTTTCCCAGAAGGGCGAAGGAGAAATTATCAATTTATGGTCAGTCGCGTTGCATGAGCAACACTACAACAGCAATATCTTTTTGTATCTCTGCATACATGAACCATAACAGTCATTGATTCGAATAAGAATTTCTGATATGTATATAAGTTGTACGAACATAGAAAAAATTTGATGATAATCCTGTTTAATTAGTATTCAAAAGATTTTCTATGATTAGTCTTTTCTATATATAAAATGTGTCATGTAATTGCTGGTACAACCAGGTGGGGAGTGTCCCTACGTGAAAAAATAAGTTGAAATTGTAGAATAAAATTGTTTCATTTCAGATTTCGTTTTCAAGAAAATCGATTTCGGTGAAATCTGCTGAATACGCGTGCAATTGAATAGAACTTGGTGGGCGCGTCTGTTCATTGCATTTCATATCTACTCACTATCATGACGAATAGACGCATCTCAGATTAATTTTCGAAATCGATTTTCTCGAAAACGAAATCTGAAATAGATAAATTTTTCTATATTTTCGACTGATTTTTTCACGTGGAATGACCCACTACGCGGTTGTACCACTAGTTACATGACATTTTGTAGTTGCGTATACAGATTGCACAGTTATCGAAATAAAATCAAAACATTACAATAAAATCTTTTCGTATGGAGTTGTAGTTGAGAAGTTAAATACTCTTGGTGTACCTATGAGTTTCAATACAATGGTATGAAATATGTCTCCCTACTACCTACTATTTGTATTTATATTAATCACAGAGGTTAATAATAAATTTCTTGACGTTACTTTTAATACTGTGTACTTATAAATTCATATTAAATTATTTTAAAGGTCAAACACTATCGTATTACATTAAATGTTTATAAGCATTTGCAGGAGTAGAAATAATTAATAACAGAATGACAGCATGGTAGTGTTGTATTCTATTGTACATATCTCGTACTAACGCTCGAATTTCTTTCTTCTGAAAACGAAACTATAGACGAAACAATATTTCGCAGGAGTCCGATTTACTTTTTACACGAAGAAATAAGTTAGTAGCAGAGTTGAGCACGATTTTACTCCAATGAAACATAGGAAGAGCAACAGTATCTAAAATCGTCACCCTAACCTTTAATCAATTAATGAGATTAAATAATTGTTTACCAAGTCTCTACTCGTTGAAAACGAAATATGATTTCATTATAAAAATTGTATTTTCCATGCTTAATCAATGAAAACCGGTGAAGTATTTTTTTTAATCTTTTACTCGTTATTCGAAACTCTTTATCTCGATAATGAATTTGCCCCTCTCTGACGGTAGGTTTGTCTTTCGAAATGAGAACGAACTAGTAATTTTATATTCATATTTTTAGCAAAATCAGTCGTTTCTTTTCAACAGTATCAGACACAGATTTTAATTGAAATTTCCACATATAATCAATTAGAACCAGCGAAGTGCTCTCTCATCTTTTATTATTAGGTGAACCAGTAAGTAATCCAGTATTTCAAAAGCAGATAATATAATTTAAATTAGAAACATCCCTTCTTTTCTTTTAAAATAACGCGAAACATTGTAAAGCGGGATTAAATATTTTCTGAAACAGCATTAGCTTCTAATTTCCTCGAAAATAAGTATTGAATTTGACAAGATGTAGTGGATTACTTATTGGTACACCTAATAGTTATTCAAAATCCTCTATTCAGATAATAAATCCGAATAGCAGACATAGATCGTTCATAATCTATCTCGAATTCCCCAAGTATCGCTTCAAGAATTTCCTACTTATATTTCTCATCAAAACCAATGTATCTGACGTATAAAACCCAAGTATCCGGAACAAAACCGTTATAAGAGACGCCATTCACCAAAATGTTTTATCGGTACGTAAATTACAAAACATTTTCCTCGAGTACGTAGAAAAACGTATGTACACACCCTTACACCGACATCTCTCCCACGTAGCCTTCAACGAATTCCCAAATAATTTCCGTTCCGCGAAAAAATTGAAGCACATCGTTTCTAATGCATAAAGAGTCTGAAATAAAATTTAATACACGCGCGTACACGAGATCGTTGAGAATATTGAAAACGAGCCGGAGAATATGGAAAGATGTATAAAAGTGTGCGAAAATTCAGTTCTTAAACGCGGCCCGGGTCCCCTTATTACACTCTGAAACGGTCTCTTGCGTCGTCTATTTGTGTGTGCATGTGTGTACGTGTGTGCACGTGCATACACAGCGAAGAAAAAGGGACGAGGGATTTTCTGTGCGAGGTGAAAATTACATACGAATGCATTGGGACGAAGTACTCCGGGAGAAGTTGCGCTAAAGCGAAAGCATGTCTACTCGTACAGGCTACAAACTGCTCCAGGAATATATTTGCGAACGGCCGAGAGTAATTCACTCTCGCGTTTGTCTGCAACTTTTTTGCCAACTTCCGCATGGAAATATTAAACCTGTTAAAGAAAAGCTGTGTTTCTTCGCGCGGGCGCAACCTTGGAAACGGCTGTGAAATATGAGCGGTGAGAGTTTGCTTTAATTATGTCAGAGAACGCGTCCATTAACGTAATTTTGAATCGAGAAAACTTGTTTTTCGAACTCAGCAGTCTGTATTTTGTCCTACGGGATGTGCGATCTGGATTTTTATTAGATTATGTTTTTTATTAACTGCGATCGTTCTAGCATTGCGTTTTTAACTTGAAATGTCAATGTATTATGAAAATTAATAATATTGAATCTCAAACTTCTCTGTAAGTGGTCCTTCCATTGTTTTAAATAATTGAGTAGCTTCTTTGTCGGAGGAAGATTCAGATTTTAAGTAGCTACTTTATCAAGTTTTGAAGATACCGATTAATTTCGAATAGCTAGATTAACTTCTCAGTTGATCAGTTTCACAATTTAGAATATCGGTGTACAAATACTTGTTAAAATGAATATGATAGCAAGCAATGAAATTATTAGCAGTTCATTATACCTTATAAATAGACTGCGGATTTTTATGCAACATGACATTTCATAAAGTAATTTATAAAGACACGAGCAAATGTTGGAAATTCTTTCTTCTCTTAAATATCTTATTGGGTGAAGAATAAAATAGAAAATTCGTTACCTCTGATGAAAGTTTTGTCTTTTATTGTATTTGGGAGTACCCTATAGGCTATAAATGCATAAAATCCGCAGTCTACTTATAAAGACGATCCAAATTTGATTGAGTACACGTTTTAATAGGATTTAATGCACATTTGTTTTCTTTTAAGTCTCGTCGATTTGACGTTAAACGAAAGTTTCAAATGAAATACAATAGAAATAAAAAGAGAATATAAGACACCTAGTGTTATAAAAAACTTCCTACATTGGGCGTCTAAAACAGTGATAGAAATATTTATCCTGTTCGATCCCAAACTATTTGATCTAACAGATTAAAAATCTATAATATAGAATATTTATCTACTGAGTGAAAGAAATGTTATCACTAATAACGACAGAAATAGAATGGAACAGTTACCTTTATTTTAATGAAATGTTAATACAAAAAATAAATATTTTCATTTACATGGAAAATATTATAACCTTTTTCCTGGCGTTAAAGAACCTTCCCGACAACTGAACAAGAAAAAATGATCTGTGATGACGACTGATTCATGACAACACACGGTTCCTACTTCGATATTTACGTATGTAGAATCATATAAACCTTATCTAATTCATATAGTTTCTACTTACAATTAGATATATTTAAACTTGAAGGCGTTTCGTTGAAAGTATTTATACGTTCATTTTCCATTTCGATGTCATTTATTGGAAGCCTGTATGCGTCCACAGCTCTCAAAAAATTAAGAATCCCCTAACACTCTGATACTTGAAACTTGAATATTTTCAAAAAGTTGTCATGTTCGTCGATCCGATAGAAATACATATACCTACGTTTATCGTTGGTAGTTCTAGTACATACTCGTACCGTAAGTTGAGGTAACTTCGACTCAGTCAGGGTAACTTTGTCCCAAGTCGGGAAATTATCATTATCGATTTTTCAGCTCTGCAAATTGTTAAATTAAGTTAAATTTTACGTAAAAAAGCATTTCACATAAAAATACCTGTAAAAGGGCTGCAAAACCGGAAATGATCATTCTCTGACATTGGGATATAGTTACCCCTGACTGTATCGAAGTTACCCCAACTTACGGTACATGTATTTCATTGTGAAACGTAAGTGATCACACTTTACCTGATAAAATTCTTTGAAAATGACTGAGGTACATATAGGGTGTGAATAAAAAAATACCGACGTTTCATATGCAAAGACCGAAGTATTTTCATCAAACCTGATCAACTCTTCCATTCTATTCGTTCAACCATCCGACAGAGATCTCACCGTTATCCTTGACCCAATAATTAATCGACTTCGGCGAGGCTTCGACGAAACATTCCAGGACCACGTCCGTGCTCAGAGGTGCCCCGACCAGTTGATTGGGTACATGAATTACAGGCGAGACTGTGAAACAGAATAACAGATACGGATTGCAGTCGAATGCGCGCGTGGGTTTTCTCTTCGTTCACGGACGAAGTAGATCGGTAAATAATCAAGCTGCGAGCAATCACTATTACTCACAATGAACGTTGATAAAAATACGCTTGCTGACTGCTGGAGGTACGCCGTTGCTCGCTATACAGAGGTACACACCCATCTCGTTTCTCGAGACCTTCGACAGGTTCAGTTCCTCGCCTTGGTAGTCGGCCACTGTGGTCACTAAGCACAGTGATAATTATTTAATAATAAAGTGTTTTTGCGATGATAGTCACGGGAATTATTAATAATATTAACAATATACAGTAAAGACCCCATGAGAGTCCGAAACTCGGGACCGCTTCAAAACTTTCACGGTGCACCGTGTGTGTCGTTGAAACACCTCATAATTTTATTTTTTGCCCAATAAAAGCGGGGGTGGGGGTAGGGTGGCAATATATTATGCGAATGACAGGTTGTACGGCCTCCTTGTCCCAGTGGTGGGGATGAAGTAAAAACTCTCACGAGGAACTTCCTATTCAACTCTCATGGAGCCTTTACTGTAATTAGAAATACAAATCAAGAATGAACAGTACTCTGATGTATTGATTGTATCTGAGACTTGTGATAAAAGTCATCTCTCTTGACTGTCGAAGTGGTCTCGTTCGTAGTTGTTTACACAATCCCTTGTTGTTTGTTTGGTTCTAATCTGTGGATGTGTTCCTATATGATTGGTGTTCGGTGTTTGTGTGGGTGTGCAAATCAGTTAGCAATTATGGAAGGGAAAACGGTATACTAAGGTTCCAATTTAAACCTGAAATTCGTGGAAATCAGTTACAGGGAAAAATCATAATTAGCTGAAAATCCTTGATTTTCCTGCACGTGTTTTTCAGCTGTCCAATTATTCCAGGTTATGGGGACCATCGACAGGTAACGGTAAACTTATGAACCAAAATCAACGGATCAGTCCTTGGCTCGTTACGTTGATGAAATTTCTCTGTTATAAATATTTCTCTTGTTATAAGAATCACGTTCACCGTATGCAAGTTGCAAGACAGTTAATTCTCTGACAGCACGTATTTAATAGACCAAATTTCGGATTACAGTCGTAGAGTATTAAATAAGTAAGAAAGTTTTGGCAGCCAGAAAGTATGTGATATTATTATAAAAGGGAAAAAAGGGAAGGTTAATGAACAAAATTAAATATAAGAAATTTTATCCATGGTAACTAACAATGAATATTACTGTTGTAAATATATTACTGAAAGAATGGACGGCATTCTAAGAAAATGTAAATAATAAATGCACTCGTATTCTGGGTAAATATAGAATAAATAAATGAAGAACGAAATCTCGAAATAATTGAACACTTCCATCAATTACTGCTTAATTTTCTTCTTCTACAATTTGAAAATGAGTAAAGATATGTAGTTTCAAATTAACATCGTATCCCATTACAGATGACTATGTCATTACATTCCTTGCACTATTAATAAAACAATGACATTTACAATTAGCTCGCTTGATGGAATACTTTTTACCAGGGGTAGTACATCAAAACAATAGAACATTATCGATTAAATAAAATAAGAAAGGATTAGCTGTGTATAAAGTTAATGGCCCTTTCTCCATCAAACTTTTTTATTAATATCAAAACATTACTACAGCATCTACCTATTACTCGCAATAATTCCTTCTATTTCTATAACTTTTTGACACGTTTCTGAAAAAGTAAAATTTCCATTTAATAATATTACTATTCTATACACCTACTCTCTATATAATTTCAAAAATCGTGAAAAAATCGTATCAGAAAATTATAAAATCCACGAAAATAAGCAGACTTAATGAGCTTTTCAAATCACAGATAAATTTTTCAACCAGATTTTATTTTTCAACTTAATTACCAAGTGAATCATTATTCTTGAATCTACAACTCATTTTCGTCTAAAGGCAAGGTTTAGAGATCTAAAAAACATTACATTCTGTTACTTTTTAATTACTTTCCTGGCTTAAGACCATTGTACTTGAAAGTATACAGACGGAGGGCTGACAAGAAAAACTGGCGTAGATAAAGCCAACGTTTTAATACAATTTTTCTAGCACCTGCTCGTACTCCAACCCGAAATACTACATGCAACACACCGAAACTATCGTCATACTTTCCTTGTATTGTATCTTTCTGTAAACTCTGAAAACCATTGATTTTCCTGCAGTCTCAAATCGCAACAGCTGCTCTTAGAACTCGTAATTTTGATTTAATTACGTTGGAGCGCGAAATAACGCGGTAGCCTACTTTCTGCAATCTAATGGAAGAGCATCCGATTTCGTTAACAATCCTAAAATGATTTTCCTGCGAATTCCTACTCGTAATTTACGATTATGTAAAATTTTACTGGAATATCTTCTTATCTGTTTATGAAAATTCATTCCAAAATTTATTTGTTTCTGCTTTTTGTGATGCTTAACCCATAAACTGAGATTTTTGTCCAAGTAGAATTCACATACTTAACAATGTTTTAACTGATGTCTAATAACAAAAAAGGAATTAATATTCCTTTAGAAAGAAATGAAAAGAGAAATTGCTGCATTATATTACTCGAACCATTTTAGTGGTCCACAATTGAAATTTATTACTGAAATTGAAACAGTTATAATAATTTCATAACTGGATTCTTCGCTGTTAATCATTGGCCCCAAATGCCCACTAAATATCCTCCGGTAGACGAAGTGTTAAAAAGTAATTTAGAAAAACGAAAATGTAACATTAGGTTGGTGGGAAATAAATGGGTATCTGAACATGGTGAGGTTACTGTTTCCCTTGCTGGAATTGAAAAATGTATAGAATTGCTTCTGGAATAAATAGTATTCGTCAGCATTCTGATCTATGAGATACAGCACTCCATACATAATTGTGGTAGGTCTTTTATCTTTCACTACCTTTATTTATTCCTTTTAGATTTATTTTTACTTTGTTTCGTACATACCTACTTTTACTAACTAAATAACTACCTCTTTAAATATATTTTCACTATATTACTTATTTTAGCTAAATATTTAGTAAACAGAAAGGTAAGAAGGTTTGAGGTAAACTTTATTAATATTTTGACTTTATTATGGTGCAACCACAATTATTTCGATGTTAAGGATATGGATACAGTCCTAAAGAACATTCGTTAAATTCGACATTGCCTTGCAAAAGAAAGAGTTTTTACTAATTAAATCCAATTATATCTACGGAAAATGCTTCTCTTCGTTTAACGAAATAGGCAGTCTCCTCGAACGACTGGCGTACAAATTCCATAGAAAATTGCTGGTTGAAAATGAACTTTTGCTGCACTATTTGCTAACCGTTCCAACGGAAATCGCTAATTAATGAGTTTGTAAATCATAAATCATCGAGTTACGCTTGAATTCTCGTCGGGGTTGCGTTACGTCGCAGATTCGAAAGCAACACTGGTAATTACAGGAGTACTGGTGAAATACATTTTGTGTTTGAAGACTGAGTGATAGATTGAAAGATGAGTCATCTGAAAATTGAAGGTAAAATTGTTTTACCCATTTATTATAGTCAGGTAAAAGTTATCCATTTGTATTACTTTAATTCATCGAGTGATTAGAAGATATGTTTTGAAAATCATTACCGATATAATATGTAAATTACTTTGATTTGACTAATTGATGCTATGATAATTATATTATAATATTTCAAATTTGTGAACAAATCGTATTAGTTTCATCGTTTTTACAATAATAATGCCGCAGAGTATTTGTTAAAATTGTTAAGAGAAAATATCCTTTAAATATTCGAATTATGTGTGCAAAATTAAATGAAAAGCTAACTGTACTATATTCTAATTCAAATTTCCCACAAAACCTATAATCATAGACATACTATAAATAGTCAGAAAAAGATCGAAGAACGCTTTCAAAATTTTATTACTGCTCCCCTGTATCCTATAGTCTCCTCCAATTCCTCTTTAGTCAGTTACTTTGTATTTTCTCGTTTCGCAAATAAAATAGCATTGAACCTTTATTCTGAAAAAATACGATCTCATTGTTGACCAATCCTCTATGACAGCACTCCTCATGAATTGAGATAATCAAATTACACAGCAGATTTTAAAACATTAGATTGTACCATATGAAATTGCCGTTCATATAGGTCGAAAAGGGAACGCTTATTATTGCAAAAATTTTTATATTCACTTGATATACACATACACCGTGAGAATTAATAGCATTCTTTAAACGAGATGCTATCTGATACCTTCCGTTTTTGAAAAAATTCGCGTTTTTAGATTGTATGATTTCTTAAACTTTTCTCGAAACTGTTTACGATTTTTTTCTAATTGGCGGAAAAAATACAGAGAAAAGTATTCTACCAATCGATTTCTTCCCGGATTTTTTGTTAAATAATTATCAACCATTCTAAATGAACTAAAAACATTAATAAAAAAGGTAGTTTAAACAGCTTTGGTTGCATGAATAAGTCGAAATTTTGTTATCAAAATCATTACCTTTTATTAAAAGTCCCACAACTTTTATAATGTTATACTTTTCTCTTGTTTTTCTTAGTTAACCATAACATACTTTAAATTCATATTGGATACGTATTTATTAAATTTTCATTATAGCCTCAGATCAAAAAGTTATAAAACACAACCTTTAATATTTTCTTCGCGATTCGGACCAATTGCAACTTTTGCAAATCTTTTTTTTTCACATCGTTTAGTAGATTAATGTCTCTAACATCACAAAAAAACTCAAGTCATTTGGACCGATTTTAAAAGAGTCGTTCCGTTTTAAAGGGTGTACGAATACTTTTTACACCCACTGTATATACGAAATTTCGTCCAGCGCCTTGTACCGATTTAATTTCAATCCTCGTAGACAGGACCCACCCCACCCCCTCCTCCTCAACTTTTCCCATCGTGATACCCAATAATTATCGCCATTGTAGGCCAACAATAAGCTATCCCTTACGCCGGCAACTACAGCGGCTCCACTTAGCACGTGTTGCAAGGGTTGGACTCGCGCATGCATCGTCGCCCAGCCTCCGGTCCGACAGTGGACCGAAATTTGCCCGCTATTAGTAACACCATGCTGAAGCGAATACTAAATACGTCGTTTAGTTCCGAAACACCGACGGAGGAAAGGGTTTCTCCACCCTAACTCCCTGCCTCCCATCCGTTCGTTCGTTCGTTCGTTTCTGCCCATCAAATATTCCGCGATTTTACAGCCACCGTCCGCCGATCGTTTTCACCGACGCGACGCCGCGTCTAACAATCTCGTTTTATACGCACATACTCGTACGGTGCCCAACAGTGACAGAGCGTACGCGGTTATTGCGGGGCATTCGAACCGAGCAACGGTGCCGCATGAATGGCTCCTGATATTGCTAAAGAATGGGGCGCGCCGGGGCGAGTATCTGTTTCCTTTTTTTTTCCCCTCTAGCAGCGGAAACGGGTGATTTTCGGAGCAGAAGACCGAGAGATCACGTTAGCCTCAGCAGACTCTTTTTTCGACGATTGAACGGTTTGAGACTGGGGAGACACCGACGTTTATAATTTGTGGAATTTTCTTTGCTGCGGAACCTCTACTGTAGTACAAGGCTGAAAGAATTCACGTCGATACTGGGTGGGTCGAAGTATTAGACGACAGATGTTCGGAATATACACTACCGGCCAAAAGTTTCGGGTACATCTATTGCATTTGAATTCCACACCCAGATACAAATTTTAGGGTTTAATATTTCGCTAGATGCGTTTATTAATTTCAGCCAGTAGGCCAAGAAATGAGCTTGGTTTACAGTATTCTGTAACTCACTCATTCACTAATTTATCTTTATTGCACTTCCCTTCTTTTTTACTTCTCCTTATGGTTTTCCTGTCTGCAAACTTTGTCCCCCGCTTCCCCACATACTTTGTTTCTTTCCTCAGTCTTTCTATTTCCTTTATAAATTCTACGTCCTCTTCGGAACTTAGACCATATAGTATTTTTGTCAACGTTATCTCCTTTTATTTTTTCCTATCTATTTCTCTCTTTCGTTCTCTTCTAGCCAGTATTTCCTTTGTCCATCCAGATTCCCGCATCTAACTTTCGTTCCCATTTTTTGGCTGTCTTTCTGTCCTGCAGTTTCTAAGTACCCAGGCAACTTGTTCTCCCTTATCCATTTGTATCTTTCATTTTTAACCTCTTAGCTGTGGTGCGGCTTTTTAAAAGTGTGTAGAACAGGAAAGCTGGCCAAAACCCCAAATTTTATCTTTGTTCAAAATGAATGAAACTTTGTCCCTATGTTCCTAAGAATAAATAAAAGTAATCTACTATCTTGGTTTTTCGAAAACAGCAGTATTTAGTAACAAATTGAGTGTTACCCCCTCGGTATGTATATGTACAGGATGTACTTAAACGCTATCCCAAACTTTAAGTTTTAGTAACTTTCGAATGAAAGAGGCTATGTATATTCGAAAGATTTGTTATATTCATTTCATAAAACCGGATTTTATGATGAAAGATTTAAAAAATCACCACCGTTATTGGTAGTCTCATGACCAGTTCTTGCCTCAAATGAGTCTAAAACATAAATTAAGACTTCTTCCAGTTTAATTCATGAAATTTTTATCCAAATGGCTGATTTTAGTTACCCCAAAGTGTTCATCTTAGGGTGAAAGATGCGATCTTTCAAAGAATCAAACAACCAAAAATCAGACGGGCTAAGATCTCTGATGTAGAATGGCCAATCGCTGCCTGATCCACAAAATTTTCCATAATTAAATTGAGCTGACGAGTAATCCAGGACTGAGCAGTAAACAAATAAGAATATCGCGTCCCTTTAACTGCGCAGAGTCCAAAACAATCGCAATTTAAAGCTTGGAAACGTATTTAGTACACCCTATCGGTGACTAAAGATAAGAAAAATTTGTATTAGGAAAGATGGAATTCTATTAATATGGTTAGTTTTTGAAAAAGTGCTTTGATTAATGTGACGTCGATCGCGGGTAAAACCTTTATTTTTCGCAAGGTTGTTGGTTTGCGCATTTGTTTCGGTGTTGTGCAGTAACGGATGGTAGGAATTCCAGAAAATTTCACATACTTCACTGGACAAATGAATTCGGACTCGGATATTTTTCTGCTTTGTTTGTTGTTATGATGACGTTATAAAAGTTCTGCCGAGTGAAGTGCTTACTGTTAGTCCGACGCTACATGTCATAAAAGTTACACGAGATACCTACATATTACAAAATATAAAATATATTTTATCTATTTAGTTAGCTAGACAAAAATATTCGGACGCTTCATTTACCAGCATAAATTGCAATCTGAAACACGAGTTTTATGGGAACGTCATACTATATCATTATTTTATCCATTGTAGGATGGTACTAGGCAAAAAGCCAAAAATTTTGAAAGAAAAAATCATAAACGGCTTAAATTGTCAGTATCCATAATTTCTCGATGTATGGGTATCCCGAAATAAACGGAATATTCAATAAAGGAACAAATTGTTCAACGAGCTAACTTAGAAAATATATCGAAGTGTAATCCACTAAGGAAAACAACAATTATACGAGACAAGCTATGATTACTTAATGTAACATTAATGGTATCCCTAATTCAAAATAATACAGTAACAAATATTTTCCGAAAAGTATGAAAAAAAATGGTTTTTCGTGTTTCTGTAAGGATAAAACCCTAATATCAAGGCTTTTATACTGGATAACTTTTAATTAATAATTACTAATAAAAATACACAAAAAAAATTAAACTTTACTTATATAATTATAAAAAATAGAGTTTAAATTGAAAAAAAACGACAATTTATGCAGGTACCAGGATAGGAAATTGGGCTTTAATGTTTACAGTGTTGTATGAACTGTATGTTGTAAGAATGCCAAAGACAAAGAATGTTCAGAGTAAAAATAATTACAGTACTGAAAATGTTTATTGCATCAATTAAATATTAAACACGTTATCACTTATGTCTCTCTTATTATTAGTACTAGACAAATTAATTAAAACAACTATTTATTGTAAAAACGTTTAACTCATTATCTTCACCAAAATAAGTTGGATACGAATTATTTTATGAATCATATTATTATAAAAATTGTGGATAATACGTAAATTTGTGAGTGATGCAATAAATATTTCCAGGACTGTGTATAGAACATGAAACGTTTGTATAAAATTATCGAACAACTGGAAGTGAAAGCAATATATTTATTAAATAAATGTATGATGTAATTTCTCCCAAAATTGTTCATAACCATGCGTAGAAGAAGAATACAGCCCATCTCAAATGCTACAACATATTTTCTTTTCATACAGGCACAATTGCACAATTCCTCGAACATTATTTTATCACTTGTGTAAAAAATGATTCAACAGAAATTTACCCTGAAACTCTCGAAACATTCGTCGAAACAACACGAAATATACGATAAATAAACAATTAAACTAGATACAGACTGAATTAATCATTTTCTCGCTAAGAAGGCTCCGGATGCCCGGCAAAATTCTCAGTAAAGGATCGTATAAATTGAAACGGGCAGGTAAGAGCAAAATTTTTCACGAAGCTACTCGGAACGTGACCCATAAAAACACGGGGTACTATCGATTCTTCGCACGTTTACGAAGTGTTACTTAACAATTTCTGGAAAGTTACGTTCCCCCGCAGGCAGTTTCGAGCGAGTCTACCGGTGGCCGGGACGGAAACAGGGTTGAGGGGTTGAAATAAGGAAATTAAAATACCGAGTGAATCCAAACCAGACTTCAGGGCCCGGGGAAAACATAATTGTATATTCCGCGTTATATCGGCCGAATAGTGGGAGCGTCATCTATATTAAATCTTACCATGAGACTTCTGGCTCAAAGCGCTTCCTGCAGATGGTTTCCGAATTACAATCTTCTTCCCGTCTTCACGGCGCCACGACACGCGGGGCGGTGGCACGCCTCTTGCACGGCACGTTAACTTCACCTGTACGTGTTATGAAACCAGAATTGTAAAGAGAATCGACTTCGTTATTACCGGCGCCACTGGTAACGCCAGCTACGCGTATAAATATCTTTGGAAAAATTGGAACGGCCTCCGAAAGCCGCGGCCGTGGAACGTATTCGCTCGGAAACCGTTTCACTTGCTCGAGATTATACGCGGGGCGTCGTTTTCCCCTTGAAAACTGCCCCAATATTATCAGCTATAAAGGAATGATTCAGGGCACGGAGAAGAATCTTAGTGACTCGAAACTGGTCGAATTGTTTTATCAGGCTGTGCGCAATTTCGTTTGAATGTTAGGTCGTTCGGAAAATTTTTTCGGATTTCATCATTCATTTACAAACTAATAACTGGACTGTGGACGTTTATGCAAATTTAGATTTTTATGGATCTGTTATATTTTTCGAAATTGAACACGAACAGAAGTTTATTTTATTTATTAATGGTTCAATTAGTGTTCAATAAATAATAAAGTTCAATGGTTCGATAAATCATTTTTTTAAGCGTTCTTATAATCTCCATTTTATTACGTACACTCCCGTTTATAATTGTTAGAACACTTATCGAATATGAAGTAAATGTAAAAAGGCACAACGAAATTGTTGAATGTATGAAATAAATATTGCTTAGTGGATATCAAAACTCGGTTTACAATACTTATGCTAATACAAACTAATGAAAGTGGCTCAAAATGTACAATTTTGATGACACGTAACATTTTCTTCATAAAAACACTATGTTTTAACATTGGAACAATCAAAATCGTCGAAAAGACTAGTTCGTAAGCTCATACAAATTATTAAAAGACTGTGACACTGTATTTTCTGAGATTCTTCGTAACTTTCATTACAATATATAAGTAAAGAAGTTGGTTAATTTATTAATTTGCATATTTTCAACACGTTGTCCCTTTTACCAACGTGACATAAATAAAAACACTTTCATTTACAATAGTTTCAGTGTTAGTACCTACTCATACACGACAATGTATAATTAAGTATACCTGAATATACTATAAGTGCCTCAACGTCCACACTCTGCTGACTACTTATTTATAACTCTACATTAATATTATCAGAATTTTAGAATCCTAGTGAATACATTTGATCTTTTATTAAGACATTTCATTTATATAAGACATGATTTATACAAATTGGTAAAAAAGCTAATGACTTTTAAACCATGAATGATGTAACAGCCCCTTTAAAAAATTATATCACTATTACCGATCTATACAAAATTTTCGAATTTCCATTCATTTAATTTCGAATATACCTTAGTACATTGTTATTGGGACAAACAGAATTACGTTTTTATCCAATTTACTATAAGACTACAAAATTTGTATTTTTACGGATCCCGCATTCCACTACCGAATTGATAAAAACGTAATTTTACGTGTACCGACAGAAATATGTTAATTAGAAAAGAAATAACATTCCTCGAAAGTGTGTCTAAAACATGACGGACGCAATTTACTCATGTCACTTATGAAATGTCGCGCTATCGTTTAGTCCGAGTTCAGAGTTTTCGCAACGAGCTTTTACGAAATTAAAATTTATGAAGCTATTCTATGAGACTTTGTGGCACGATTGTTAATTACTGTTGGACTTTCTTCCAACTTCTCTGCTAACTTGGGATATATTTGAAGTAACTCCGTATACTTTGGACTTTAAACTTATTTTCAGTAACTATTAAAAACTCACATTTTCTGTTGGAATATTATTTGCAATCGCGATCTTACCTGAATCGTTACATTTTGTATTTTAATATTTACACTGCTTTCTCACTGTAATATTTTCCAACGTTGGCTTCAATAAAATCGCGAATTTCTCGTTAAAAGTGATACACGAGAGGAAAAAACATTAGCTCTTTGAATTTATAATGTGCATCGCGTTATCATACAAAATTTTAGTGGCAAATTAAAATTTCGTGGCTGTTTCATGAGATTGGGGTAAAATTACAGACAGCTTTTAATCATATTTCTTTAATCTTAATCATTAAAAAGAACTGTGAGAATATTTCAGAAATCAAATTGTTCTACTATATGGTTTTTAAAAAAATATGGAATGTAAAGAGCATCAAAATTGCTTAGAAATTACATTGTAACACAAACAGCAAATGGAATTATGAATTCAAATATCGAATGAAGAAATTATATTTGTATTATTCAATATTAAATTGAAGGACACATATCTAATTTATGATGTAAATAATTTGTAATCTAATGCTATGCATATAATTGTTAAGAACATTAGGAAAGAGAGAAGGATCTTTAGTATAAATTCAAATCGAAACTTTACTAAAATGATAACATTTTTCGTCAATCTGAAAAGCTAATGCATATAAAATTGACTTCTGTATATTCAGTAGTCCATATATTTGCAGTTCAATTGGCTTCATTGGACGTTTATTTAAGTCTCAGTTACCGGTTCCATCCATCACACGGTTAATTTATTTAACTCATGCACATAAATTTCGCGTTATTCATACAAGACTACCGTTACATTAATTTCCTAATGTTATACGGAAGAACACTACACACCTCGAAGTACTTTCTAGAGAAATTAATTTAGCGACACTAAACCTGTGTAATGAATCATACAGGTGTGAGGGGTTCAGGTAAATTTTTTCAATTAAAAATCCTCAGGATTCAGATCTACAAACAAGATGTATTTAAGAGACATATTTCTTCCTTATGGTGTGCATTCAAACTGTTGTCTGCGATTTTTATTTAAGAATTCCCTGAACAGAGGATCTAAAATTACCTTGAACGCTTATACATATAGGGTATAACTTAAATATTCCAGTATTTCCAGTAAGGGTAAAATACGTATATCAAACAAAATAAAATATGAAATAATCTTGTTTTTGAAATACAATTCTTTATATCAGCGATGTATCAGAAACATCGTAAAATGTGACACAGTACTTCAAAAACAAAAAGTCTCCAGTGTCCATAAATAAAAATCCTTTTTGAAGCAGAAATAAAAATTCGAGCTTTCATATTCCAAGAGATAATTCTCCAAAAGAACTTAAAAAGTAAATGCCGTGGAGAGTAAGTTCGTATTTCAGTAAGATAACGATCCCAAGAGAGTGAAAGAGAAGCAGTCAACGAACATAAAAGCGAAGATTACAAGGGTCAGCTTCTGCTTCGAGAACCATAAACAAGGTTGTTCTCCAACAATTATAACACAGTTCGCGAATAATTTTTTTTTCACGCATTTCTCGACCACCAGTGGGCCAGAATGAAAATCTAGCTGAATTTAATTCGTGGAACACGATAAACGTCTAATGAGGACATACTCAAGACAAAAGTTGTATAATAGCTCTAGTAATACTCGTTTTAATAAAAAATAATAACAATTTAAACAAAATTTCCTATTTAAAGAAAGTCTAATTAATCCTCTTCAAAAAATTTTAATTTACGAGAAAACTTCAAGAAGGTATATACAGTGAGAGTCAAAACTAAGTATACACCTTACAAAGGTGAGTGTAATACTTCTGTAGCATCCTACTATTGTAAAATCATGGCAGTAATACAGTTGGATATGAATTTCTCGACATTTTCGAGATAAATAGGCAGCGAAACGATTCCAGAAAAAGAAATTCGGACCTATAGCCACAAAATTTGGTAAATATCGTGAAACTTGGTGAATGTGCTATCATAGTTTGGGACAGCATGATAACCTCTGATGTAAGACATTTGGTTTTTATTCATTGTGAACTGCCCACAAATTTGGATGTTTAAATATTTTCCAAACCAAATTCAGCTGCAAGTCCATTCAAAGGGTCTTTCAGTGAGATCGTGACCCAAAATATACAGCAAAGGTGGTTAAAAATTGTTTGCTGGAAAACACATTCAATCAGTTCTCCCACACAGGCACCAGATCTCAATGTAATAGAGTATCTGTGAGAAATATTCGATTCTAAATTAAGAAAAATAAATATGCAAGAATCCAATACTTTCAAAGTGTATACTCATTTTTGACTTTCACTGTTGATACTAGGTTTTTGCTGCAACAACAAATTTTTTAATATCCTCTTTTGGTATATCAACAAATAACATTGTTTTCTTGAAGGGGCGAAAGGAAAAATGTGATTTTTATAAATAATATTAATGTATGAGTTAACGAAGCAGAAAAACAGATAATTACCGTGACTACACAAGGATACTATTTTGTATACCCCTCCAAAGTTTGATACTCTGTAGTGTAAAATGAAATTGTTTTTTTTTCTATTATTAATAACCCGCAAAACAAATTTCACCAATGTAGACGTGTACTCGCAAAAGTGTCAAATTTTATAAATCATATAATTTTTTTAATTGTTGCTTGCGCATTGGTATCGAACTTTTTTAACATTTTCAGTGGTGTTATAAAAACCAAGAGGAATCAGCTGGACCTTAAACTACATACAATGTATTGGCTTCTTGGTAGAAAATCTCAACTGTCACTGCATAACAAATTAGATATCTTAAAGCCCGTGTGGACCTATGGAATTCAGTCATAACTGTCAGTAATTCCAATCTGGAAATTATACAAAGATTTCAGTCCAAAGCACTCGGATTAATGATTGATGTTCCTTGGTACATCACAAATGTGGCCATTCATAGAGACCTAAAAATACCGATGATTAAGGAGGTAATCCAGCGATACAGCACTAATTATGAAAAAGATGCAGGATTCACCTAAACGAGTTAGCGTCGAACTTATTAGGCAAGAATTTAATGAGTAGAAGACTCAAAAGATTTAAGCCACCTGACCTACAAAAACGGTTTGATTTAATTACAAGAATAACAAAAACAGAGAACAAGCATCAATGGATGTTTATTTCAAATATGTTCTCCATTCTGTTAACATACAAATTATTGTTATTTAGTCATAGATTGTAATTTGACGGTGCAGAAGAAAGAAACAAAGGTGTCATCAACTTCTCACATTGTCCATTGTAAAAATATGGTAAAAGAAAATATTTTTGAGCATGTCATATTTGAATTATATTTAGCTAGGCTGCCATTTTGGACCAAGTGCACAGGTGGACTCGTGTTTTCTTGGAACTTTTCACTGGGTCTCGACCGCGTCAATGGTGTTTTTCAATTCCGAGAATCATTGGTCGCTGACATTGAATCGGGGGACGTAACAAGAGTGAGCCAGCAGCGTCTCGAGAACAGTCGGGCTCGGTCTTCCGACGAATGAACTTTCTAGTGGCCGCGGTTTCCGGGTTACGAGTGTTAAAGTGTGTGCAGTGGGAAAACATGATAGTAGGAGGGAAGGAGTCGAGGAGCTGCCGCCGACCGACCACTCGAGGACTACGACTGTCCCTTAGCGCCCAGGTAAGTGACGAACGCGCCCTTCACGTATGAATACAGCCGTTCTCTGAACATTTTTCAATCGACCGTTTCGGAAATATAGCACAATAAAGAGACATTTGGATGGTATTTAAAGTTTATTTAATTTAAACATTAACTAAACGTAGATTTAATTTAGAAGTACTTGGATGTTATTTAAAATTTACTTAATTTGTCTATGTAGACAAATATTTCTGTATAATTGTTCCACTTGGGTGATGTTGATTGTAAATTAAAATGTTAAATTTTGTGAAATTTAAATTATAACTACAGGGATCTCGCGATTAACGACTGTCCTGAATTATCTGTGCCACAATAAGTTCTTCAATAGGTAGTGACGAAAATATAATAATTTAACCAAACAGATTACTGAGAAATATTCTAATATTAATCCAGGTGGAAGCAAACACACACGAGTCCACGACAACAGTACACTGTGCAAACGAAAGACGGAAAGTTTCGAATAATCGAGGTACTCTTGCAATTTAATTCTCTGGTTCGACTAAACAAGATAAAGTTTCCTTTATTGGCTTAAAGAATATCGGGTTCCATTGATCAAGTTTCAGCCAGTTTACCATTAAACAATAGTAAGTCCTCGATTTAGCGTCGGATGCTATTCTACAAGAAAATAAAAGCAGAAAATCACTAAAAACCAATCGATTGAAAGCAATCGATTGAAACGATATTACAGCTTACCTACCTCAAGTACCGATCAATTTCGAATTTCGTTCACTTCTTCAGTTTGTCCTTTGAGTATTCAGATATTTTAGAATCGAGGCCGTTTCTGACGGGGGTGCAGAAGGTGCCCCTGCACCTGGGCAGCTAAACCCAGGAGCGACCGCAGACCGTTTATTTTTACTGATAAGAATAATAATCAAAACTTTTTTGATGATTAATAACCTTTTAGACAAACATACTTCAATCAAATTAATTTTATATGTAATCTTTGTAATATTACTCGTAAACGAGAAGAAACTGTCTTTATATATGTATACATGTCTTTATGTATACAGCCCAAAATAGCATGCGATATTTAGCCATATTTATTGGATTGTAGGAAAGTCGAGTGGGAAAACTAAGATCTTTGTTAGAAGAAGTTTATTAACTGCGTCTAAAACAGAGTTGCCCCCGCTTCCGTCTTCTCGCTTATATGTATTACTAGGATTCTTCATACAAATACAGTGTGTCAGCTAACTGGATTACGTCGAATAATAACTGAACGGTATACTTTATAAAAATGTTGAGGTGTGCAACATAAATGGCATCAAAGGGCACATCTTATAAAGTACGTGTTTTTTATGGGTGGAGGCATTTCAGAGATTGTTACAAAATAATTTTTAACACGTACTTACTATCTAGAAGCTATACGTGTCCGAACTGAATCCCCTCAACTTGAATATAACGACTTCAATATATTGATTATTTTGTAAATATCTCGTTAACTATTAGGTTTAGGCACTTGCCCCCCACCCCAGTGGACGGAATAAAATTGGATTTTCTGTTGCCCAATACTATATATTATTTATAAAGCGAATACAATTTAGAAAAATGCAAAGGTGCGGAATAGAACTGTGTAGTTAGATTATTATCAGTTAAAATAAATTGGTCACAAGTTACATTAATCGTACCTGATGTCTTTAAATGTTTGTAGCATGTACACAATAGCAAGTAATCTTGAAATGTTTTGTTTACATTTGTCATTGCTTATTTATTGCATATTTTTACCATTAGATGTCGTGTATATTTATTAAATATCCGATTTAGGAGACCTCTCCTCTACTAGACACATTAGGAGCTCTTCAACAAAGTAAATTTAACATATCACAACGCGTTTAATATTTCCAATAGTAATTAGTCGAAAGATTTTATCATTACGAAAGGAATACTTCGAGCAAGCAGATTTTCTCTGCAAGCTCACCTCGAAGCGATCGTTCTCCCGATTCCTCCATCCCGTCAGATCCTCGCGAACGACCTTATCAATTTCGAATTAAGGACACAGGTAGGCCGCAGACCGATATCCTAAATGTGGGGTGATACAGAAAACGAGTTTAAAAGTTCTAGCCTGGTTCCATTGAAATTCAGATAAAGTCGGAAACGTGTCTCGCCCCAGCGAAAAGAAAATCCTCTACCGACCGACGAGATTTTTATAAACTCTCTCGCAGGGTAGCGAAACTATGGATACCGGTGTTCCCATTCCGTGCCGTTAATAACAATATTTATTACCCTGATGAACAAATATTATCCGTTTATTTCGATGAATGGTGATCGAGACTGTCGACGGACCAATTCGCGCGCACCGATTGGAATTTTCATTTTTCATAAGGACTGACTCTCAGCTCGCGCGGGAGTGTTATTGCGACGGAAATGCGGCGTCAATATTCGTTTTTCGGGGTGTATTGAATTTTCGAGTAGGATTAAAAACTTTTTTAAGGTATATTCTCGCGTAAATCTCTGACTCTATGTCGATTTGTGTGTATTTTCGCTGGTTTTTTATTTAACGGGTTGTTCTACTTTGTTGGCCGAAAAATTAAACAATCTTTAGGGATTTTTTCCTCAGTAAATATATTTATATATGTATATTAATTTTAAAAACCTTTGCAAATGTTCGTTAGGGAGTATTTGAGATAATTTTACTAATTTGCATAAAAATCGAAAGGTGAACCTTTTCGTTGTTACACCCATATACAAAACAATACATCTTGTTTATGGTTTCTTTTGGTGGAAACCGAATTCTCCATATATCTTTAATTTTTTTTTATTAAATATTTAGCGTATATAGCGTATTAACACACAGAATTGTACTTCGAATAACTGAAAACAGTACTGACTCCGTATGTTACATAGGATAGTTTACCCGATTTGACTGCTTCTTTCTTTTATCACCGATTGCGTGACGTAAATAAGTAAATTCCAATACGCTCTTTAAGTCTGTCAGTGACCTTTTGAATCACCCTGTATAATAAATTTATTCTATGTATTAAGACCAAAAGTCGTGACACCACTAGGATTAATTTACCTTTGAAGGTTCATATTTGTAAAACCCAATGGAATACTATTCTACAAAACTTGAATCATAAAAAATCAAATAAGGTTCATTATGATTCCATGATACCACAACTGATTCTATATGTAGGCACATAAGTTAACGCGAGTTTTTTTTTTCTGTCCGTGTCGTATAAATATCCAGCCCTAATACGTACCGTATATTATGGTGAGTTACGTCGTCATTTCTCCGTGACTTTTTAATTGTACTCGCGCAAAATTTAGTGGGCGAAGTAGTTTTAATTACTGAAATTCACGGGACCTAAATCTCGCGACGGTATGAGCCGCCCCGGGTTTCACGTCACGACGAGACGACATTCTTGGGTCCCGATTGAAGGACACCGCAGATACGTCGAAGAAAGACATCCACGTGTACGAATTATTCAGGGCACTTTGGTCACGTCCGTTTCTAGGAAAACGTAATATTCCCTGCGACGGTCGCGGCATCAGCTTCGATAAAGGAATCCGAAAACTGGGAAATATTTTCACATTACGCCCAGACATATGATACGAAAGCACGCGATGCCGTGATATGCACACGCGCAACAGGTTATTGAGACACTTCAGCAATATTCACAGAGCTTTCCTTTTCGTGAAGCGTGATTGAAATCCATGTTCGCGACTGAAATATGGTATAGTTTGAGAACCAAGTAAATTTTCTGGACGTAATTATAGTATTTTAATGGAAAATGACACCTTTCGTGGATATTAATTGTATTTTTAACACGTTGACTGGCACAGTGAAAAAGGTTGTACGTAGCCAGACACACTGTATTTCGTTTTTTAAATCATAAATTGTCGAAAGTATATGCGTTTAGTTATTAGAGGCGGTTGGTCTTGTTTTAAATTATACTGTGATATTAATTTTGCGCACAAATTTTCTGACGACATTTAAATAATCCAGCCTTTTTGCATTGTACGTGTCATCCATATTTGGGTGACGTGGCAGTCAAATTGTTAATTAATATGTATTTGGATTCGTCGACAAAGCGTTAGGTGTTCACGTTATTTGAAGGGAGTATTGCACGCTTTTCATAATTCTAGTGCATACATATTCATAACAGTAATGGGTCTGAAGATGATGAAATATCTAATGCCAGCCCCTTTAATAACTTCGTTATTTACATAGATACAGAGGTGTCAGATAAAAATTGTTTGTTTTTAAGAAAGACATTTTACCTTACTCGTATAAGCGTCTTATTACAAAGAAGATTGTATTATTATATGTTTTTCTGAACTTCCAGTTACACGGCTCTTTGTATACTTATCATTTAACAATCTATCGAACAATCTTATCAGGTTCAACATCTGTAGTTAAATTCCTTTTAAACGAATACAATTTTATGGCATGTCAAAACTCCTAGAATTTTCATGGGAGAAAAATAAACAAGGCATAATAGGTAACTCATAATCGTACGGGGGATACTTAATTTTTAATGTACCTATCTGGAATTCGTCTGGTACAGTATTGTTATATAATGTTGAAGAAATTACTCACTTGTCCTCCTTCGCGTACCATGACATCACTCGATGTGTCTTCAGAGATAAAATCTGGTGGCACAACGATTGACAGCATGCCCGTCTGAAAAGAATATAGTCTTTAAAACAACATTTTACAATAATTTCTATGATGTTTAAGTATTTCTAAAATTGTCACTAAGTATTTCATGAAGTTTCCACTATTGAAAGTAGTATTTTGAACAGGATACCTCTGAATTGGTAGTAAAATCCTACAGAAGGTTATTCTAATACAAAAAGCAGTCGAAAAGGTGAAGCAAGTGGTTTCTCAGGAAAATTGACAATCAACATTTTTATGTGTGTATGCACTTGAGCATAATTTGTCCAGCCATTTATAAATATTGGCCCAACATTTATAACTGAATATAGAGGGATGTTTTCAGTTGTTGTTTATTTAACTCTAATGTTCTCTAGATACAATATATTTAATACCATTAATTATTAATTTTGTAATGAAGTTATCTTCGCACTTAATGTGTGTCCTTGATTTGTGAATGGGAATGTCATTCAGGTGCCTGATTACTGTTAGCCGTTTCCATTTTTGTGAATGATTGTAAATGTCACTAGTAGCATAGTATTCTTCTGCTTTTCACAATAATCTAATATGAACTATCGTAAATTACATACGACACATTCAAGACTGTGTAAGTGGAAATAATCGACAATTATCAGACGGAATACTCAAAACAGTGCCTGACGTAAATTCAATTTCAATTAGTGTTGTAATCAAAATTCACATAACTAATATTCTACATTTTCTACTTATTTTACTCTTATGAAATTAACACTTTTATTGAAAAAAATATAGCGGTGAAACAACAAGAATGAATAAAATATGGATGCGTTAATAATCGATCAACTTGCGATATCGTGTCAATCATTTAAAAAACTACACTGTCGACAAAAACGTGTTTAAAGTCTTGCATATTGAAAGTTGCAAACTGCTATCTTTTTGAAAACATCTATAACTTTAATAATTTCACGAAGTCATGCAAATCCTTCTGCAGACATATTTTCGAAAATCTGTACCTTCAGAGTATGCAAAAAAAATATAGATTTTTTAGAAGGTCTATACTGTGTATTATACTCCCTTCATACTGCAGGAACCGTATCAGAAATATCTGTAACACAAGATTCGGTATATGCCAGAATGGACACATTTTCAGCCCCCTCCACCCCTGTCTGATAATCAGCCTTCCCAGAGTGAAACATTTCCACACGAATTCATATAGTTTTACAAAAATCTCCACCTGAAACCTTCCACAACACCCCCGTTCAACGTCTTCACCTAAACGTAAGACACCACCTAAAATCTCATCCTCCCCGTTACGATTCCCAAAATCTTAGACTCGACGTGTTGCACTTTCGCAACTTCACCGCACCAGGTACACCCGTTCTTGTGGCCCCCCCCCCCCCCCCTTCCACTCCCGTCTCCGCTCGCATCCTGCAACGGTATTTCTGCCCTCGTGCCAAAATTCGTCCCCCACGAGATATATTTTCCGGTTCGCACTGGAACGGGCCAGAATTTAATGTTAATGATACGCTTAACGGCTGCACAATGCATCAAGTAAATTTCCTTTCTTACCGAATCTCTAAATTATATCCGCGCGCATTACTCTATTCGCGAGAGCAGTACTGAATAACGCGGGAGCCCCTAAATCCTGACTGTATTTCGCCTCAGACTCCCTTAGCCCCCTTCCACGCCTACCCACGCCCCACCCCATTCCCACTTGCGACGGGGGAAGCAGGAGCAACATATCATGGGTTTGTAGGCGACGCGGCAAGGGAGGAGGAATAGGTAGGGGAATGGCGCGGAGGGAATTCGGACCTGCAACGCTGCCAATGAGCGGCCCGTGGCTTTTCGTTAATTAACGACACGCCGCCGCTGCGATATAATAAGTAACACGGTCGACGGAGGTTGTTGCCGATGTTGTTGCTGCTGGGCACCGTCGCGGCGAACTGTTCCCTAACAATCCGCCCCGTTGAATTTTTCACATGGCCCAGGCAATCGCCGTTAACGCGGAACCAGAGGGCGCCTCGGGGGTAGCTACTTGCTGGAGCAGAAAACGACGGAACGTATTCTACATTTTTTTTTTCCTCCCCCACGAGGCTGCTGGGCCGAATCGCCCGCGAAACTGCTCGTTCATTACGTAGTTGCAGGGTGATTTCGGTATCGGGCAAAGGAGAATTTGAGTAGTTGACTTTCAGCTTCTAGATACTCCCTTAAGAGGATTGTCGACCCTCTGGGGGATTGAGAAACTGTCCCTCCTGGGACTTTTCTAGATGTTTGAATTGTGCTTTCAATTTATTTACGGAAACGTAGATCCAGCGCTTTGGGTGATTGCAGGGCCATTCGTTGATAAATATTTCGCTAGTGATGGGACGGTTTACTTTGTGCGTGAATCTGGAATAGGTATGAAGAAATGGGTGATGCAGTTTTATTGTACGGAGTGCTGAGTAATAGTGGAACTGTGATATCAGCCGTTTGAGTTACAGATTTGATTTGAAATATGTTTTTTCGTTTCTATTGTACGCGGTTGCTAATTACTTGTTTGGGTTAGGGGAAGGTTGCAGTATTTGGACCTTCGCCTAGATTGGACTACTACTGTAACTTGGCATGTGTGAGCAATTTGAGTCATATAATAGACAATATGTGTTGCTTATATACTAAGTCAGTTAATTCAATCACCACTATCATAAAAAATATTTTCTATCATACGAATTCGACAACCTACCTCTATTAGCGACACTAATAACAAAACGTTTAGATTTCTGGATTGATTCGATTGTATTTTATTGTGCATCTTCTAATACAAGTCAGATTCATATTGGCTCTGTTTGAAATAAAACTCAAAGACTGAAATGTAGGACTCGTTAAGTTAGTAATTAGCACGTTGATTGTTGAACGATTTTTGAATGTTTTGTTTATAGCATCATAGTGAAGTCTTCACTACACTAAAGTATAATTTAGGACTTATAATAGCAAAAATAGAAAAATTAAACACTATATTCAAATGTTCTATTAGGCTATGTTATTATGATTTGCAGCTTTACTTTAATGAAAATTGTAATTTTGTTACAATATTAATGGTATTGGTAATTTCATAAATGTTAAAGTTTCTTTGAGGGAAACATTTTATTTCAAGCGATGATCCACCCAGCGTAACTAGCAACTCCAACAAGTGACCCCCACAATAGTCAACGTATTAATCGTTCAGAGTAAGACGATAGGGTCTTATCGAAAATTGTATCAAGTTGTTACACATGAAAATTTAATGTGCGAAGTAAGAATCGTAAATAATTATTGAAGTGTTATTATAGAAATGAGAAAATTAAAATGATTAAAAAACAATAAATCAGTTTGAAGCTCAAATGCTCGACTGTTAGAGACAAAAATTATTGTGGATATGTAAATGAAGAATAAATCGTTTGCAACTAGAAAATATTGCCTCAGCAATAATATATACGATTATTTTGAAAATCGGTCTTGATGACACGTTGGAAAACACGTTCAAAAATAATCTAGATTAATTAATAATAACTGTAAATGGAGCATTATTTCGAGTATTTTTCATATTTATAGAGCATTTAAAAATTATTTAGGGTACTAAAACCTGAACAACGAGGGGCACGTTGAAAGGGATAGAGATTTATTTTAATTCTTTTAATTTTTGGGAGATTAACAACACAAGTATTCATTCGCAGAGAATTAACGTCGACAAATGACTAAAACGTTCAGAGGAAAGGTACATTATGACTAAATACATGGCGCTGAGTCGCAGAAAAGCGATAGGCATGTTTTTATGATATTTTAAAAACCGTCAAAAATACAGAGATCTTCAGTCTGACCGAATGTTATAGCAACCATTATATACAATGCATTAACAAATGCATTCTACCAAAGTATTCTGTTCTTCATGAAATAAATGAAAACTCGACTATAAACACAGCGAATAAATGTTTAAAATGATGCGCTTCGTATTCCAGTATTGAAAACGTCAACAAACATTTCGTTCTTTATCCAAGAATAAATTTAAATCAGTTGTTGCGAAAAATTACATATACAAAGACAACAGAACTTCATTGTTTTTGTTTATAAATATAGTTACTGTTACTTCTTGCAAACAATTTTTTTATAGAGTATTGTAGAAAAAATATATATTCAACATGCTGTTATTTGCTTATTTATCATAATTCAAATATATTGTAATTTATAGCATTACTGATAATATTAGAACATACTTAATACTTTCATCGCTTCTTTACTATATCGATAGGGTGATAAAGTTCCTTGCATTTGAGTTCCTGGTACTTCTAAAATTTGCTCAGTAATTGAAGATGTCTTACCCACCATATTACAAGAATATTTCGAAATCTTAATTTTTATAATCTTCGTTTCGTTATTTTATTTATTCGGTAGTTCTAGTGTTAAACGCTGGCTTAAAATTCGTTTATCAAAGATCGTAACTGCATTCGAAAAATCAACTCTTTCCGCGTTACCAATGTTGCCAGATTGGGCGATTTACTGTAATTTAGGCGACTTTTACATGACGTATACATTATGTATTCTATTGTTTTAATGTATCATACTAAGAGATACCACAAATCTTCGATGAGTGTTCGAAGACTCCTCGGCACTGACAGATCCTCAGGTGTAACGCTGACGTCTTAATGAGGTTTAGAACTCGCCATTAGTTCATGAAATGTTTAATGTTCAGTGCCGAGGAACCTTCGAACACTCATCGAGGATTTCCTGTAGTTTCGCTTAAAATTCCCTCGTTAACTGCAACTTCAAGATTTTTTTAACATCGACTTTGAGCAATTTTAGGCAACTATGTTTACAAGAATCCTATAAAAAGTCCAGCAACACGGCTCGTTGCGTAACAAAAATTAATAATAGCATCGCAGCAAGTATCCAAGTAACGATCGTCATCAAGTACTCCATAACAATCCACCGAGCACATGCGCGTGCATTTCTAACGCTCGAGATCTCGCGAGACATTGCAAGCATCGCTTCCCAGCAAACAAGTTCTGACTAGTATACTGTCGAAATTCCTGAACGAC